TCTTCCCTTCCCTGCCTTGAACTAACAGAGCTCTTCACTAACTATCAAGTGGTGTGAATTATCTTATTGGTGGGGGGGATAATCTCACATCATGAAAGGACATCTGTTTCTTCTGGATCCTCCTGGGATAAAGTCAGCTATAAATGAGGGGGAAAGGAGAGACATATTTTTAAAAATACTGATTCTGCTGCATTTATTCCCAGACATACAGGTGTTACAATTGTACTTTCATGCCCATAAAAACAAGAAAGCATCTCTCATACTCACGAAAAACAGTGTCTATCATTTATCATTGGAGATTAATTTGTAATTTCCTCTGTGAGAGATTACCACCACCATGATCAGGTCAGTCACTCCAGCTTACTGTCAACCGGTCTAATCCATTCAAAACTCAGAATCAGCTTCCCTACTTGGGGAGACCAAGGGGAAAGCCCCAGACAACAACTCTGCCCCCCCCAACTGAACAAAGCCAGTCATTATTCACCCTACTTTTATTGAACACCCGACATAAGCCAGACACTATGCCAGGTGCTGGGAGTACAAAGACCCTCAAGTTGCTTTCAAGTCTAGCAGAACACAGGAAATGTGGATGACGCTGGACAAGGTGGACCAAAAGCTTCATAAAGAACAAGGATTAGGAAAACTGATTTGCAATTCTGCAAATTGTAATTCAGCAGGTGGACCTCAGTGAGGGCCACAGGTGCTACACCAATGAAACTAGTAATGTTCACCACAAATGGAGTTGTCCGGGTTACCCAGGGACTGCAAACTGGGCTTCAACCTCTTCAGATCAGATTTATTCCCATCTGATCCTCCTCTTTCTCTGCCAAGAAGAAAAGAAAAGGAGAAAAAGAAGGAAAGAAGAGTAGGTCAGCCATCTTCCTTACACTCCCCGAAAGAGAACCTTTCCATAAAGGCCCAGGGCATCCTAAATGAATGCCTTGCCTGCAACTAGATGGGCCACCTGACTGAAGGGCAGCACGACAGACAAGAATGGAGGCAAGAGGAATACTCTCAGCAGTGTGGAGTAGGTGCTTCAGGTTTTTCCTACGTGTGCAGGAAGTTCATGTCTATGTGTGGACAGTGTGGTTTCTCAAAAATGAGATAACATCGTGCATACGTGCAATTTGTTTCAGTTGAATAATATAATATCACAGGAATCTTTCCATATCAGTACATATAAATGTATTACACACCGTGATGTCCTGACACTCATAAAAACTGCATAAAACACATGACTTAAAGATAATTTGGAATTGGAAATATTACTAAATACACAGTCTAAAAAATTAGTCCCAATAGAGAGTATCATTCGATTTCATCCTTAATACATTTAAAAAACTTTCATGTGTCATTTGATAGATTCTCAGAATAACCATTAAAATGAATTTAAGTCAGTCTGCTACAAAATAGCTCTGCGGCCTCCAAATATCAACCATGGAAGCCACAACCGTTTTTTCAGTATTAGTGTCATCGTGATGATGCTAAATCCAGGGCTGTGCGTGGTACAATTTTGAAATATCAATATCGACTTATGACACCTTCTTTAAATATGAATTGTTTAACTCTAAACTCTCACACAATAGTATCTACAGCAAAATTTTCTACTTCTATGCTTCAATTTATAATAGATCCTAAGAGTAAAGAAATGGAACCAAAACTATCTTTTACAGCAAATGTTGAATTAGTTTCATTCTATTAAACCAGGACTATATGTAAATATACAGCAATACCAAAAAAGGATGTGCACATCTGGAATTTGCAGTATAATGGCTAAAACAGCCATGGAAATATGAACAGGTACTGTACTGATGCGACTAACATTTCGATATTCTGCTGGTTACTAACCAGTTATGTGAGGCACATGAAGGAAAACATGATGCAAATAGTCCTGAACCAGCAACCAAAGGAGGGGGAGTCACCATTATTTCGTCTCTTAGCCAATAAAGTATGAGATTTCGACAGAGAGCAAAATTGGGGGAGGGGGGCGGTTGCGGGGAGATACTGTGTAACCCTCTGGGTCCCCACTGGACGGCTGTGAAAGCAGACGCTAACCGACGGAGGAAGGGACCCTTGCAGCGCTCCAGCCCCGTACCTGCAGAGAGATTTAACCGAACAGCAACTTCACCGAGCCATGGAAGAAAGGCCCCCCCTCCCAGGGCCCTGCACAAGGGGTCCAGGTTACAGACAAATTAGCTTTACTGGGTCCCCAATATGGAAGAATCAGAGTCATGTAATAATGAGAATATGCATCCTTTTCATCACTACATAGAGACGGCAAGTACTCCACAGTCTGCTCCCCCAGCACAGTGTCTGCTTCAGCATCTTGGAGCAGTCTGCGTTTGCAATTTATCTTCCTGAAAACTTCCGGTGTTTCACCATTTCCTACAACCTTGTATACAAAGCTTACGTATAAAGTTCCTTTTGTTCACTGCTCGTGTTGCTGGAGCTAAAACTGGGTCCTGCTGGGATTTAACATTTCACGAGCAAAGGAATGACTCTCAGCCCAAGCTGCTTCCCAGCTCTGCCAGGTTTACTGAACAAACCTCTGTGCCTTTGCACGTGGGGCTTAGAGTACGCTACCTTCCTTACTCAGAGCCCCGAAACCTGAGTATCTGTGGAGCCTCTGCTACCACCACACGCTCCTACTGGGCTCCCCTCCCTCGCCCCGCCCACCTCAGCAACCTTCTCCCCTTCCCTCGTATATGCCAAGGTCCTCAGAGCCTTTGCATTTACAATTCCTTCTTTCCCCAGACAGTCACACAGTCAGCTTCCTCACTTCTCTTGGGTCTTTCCTTCAGATTTCCAATTAATGCTTAAATAGTAATTAACTGTATACAGGACTTCAATTTTCTTTCGTTATAAAAGGCAAAAACAATATCAAACATATTCCTGTATTCCTTGCAGTAACTGGTTCAACGGTCTGCCTTGGTAAGGAAATACTAACCATCTAAATGAGTGTGCGTGGAAAGGGACTGCTAGATTTTTACCTGAGTTGCCTGAACCAGTATTTTCTGAACACAGGAAGCTTAACTGGGGTTACAGAACAGCATTACCTGAATGAGAAAATTTCACTACCCACTACTTTTTTTGAAGAGTTATATACAGCTGAAAAGTAAAGCATAGGGCAGGTGTTCAAACATTTGCTTGAAAGCATGACAATTAAAGATAGTCTCAAAATCAGAGGCTAAATAAAAGCTCCTCAAGCTTACATAATAAAAATTTTAAGTTCAAAAGTGTGGCTTTTCAAAAACAAAGGTCTTGGGCCCTCTGCCCCTTCTGACTTAATGAATTTCATCTGCTAGGAGTCAAATCTTCCATGTGTTCTGACCTTGTGCTTGTTGGCAAGGGCCAGAAAAACACTGTCCTCAGAGACGAGTTTCGCCTCCTCGCCTTCCCTGTCATCCAACATCACCATATAAGAATCAGGCCCCAAACTAACCCTGTGACTAACATAAAAGGTTCCAAACAGATGAAATAAAATTACTTTTTAAAACCGTGGTCTGAGTCCATGTCCGAGGTCCATCAACAGGCATTTGCCAACACAAACGTTTATCAACAGGAAGCATCTCTTTTCTAAAACTCTAGGTTTTAAACACAATATTAAACACAAAAATGTTGCTGAGAAAATGTGTTCACCCAGACCATATTCTACTGTTGCAGCATTAAAAACAGAAAGGAAAAAGAGATCTTCACCTCGCCAGCAAGGGTCTCCTTACGGATCGCGTCAGCCACCTTCCTCAGTGGTCCCTGGCTGCCCCTCATAGTAACGTCAGGATCGGAAGCGCGCTGCTTATATCAAATACGGACATACAACGGCGAGATTCTTCATCAAACAGGCTGTCTGTCTGCTTAAGCTGAGTACCCTGCTCCTAAGCGGCTCACCTTCCCACCCTCGGGAGAAACCACACAAGCACCACCCACACACGAAAACCTAGAAACTATACAAAACGGCGGTTAGGCCCTGCTCCTGCGGCCCAAATCACTGCTCCCTGCCTGGCGGACGCTCTTCTCCGGCTTCGGGTCTCGCAGCAACGCGCCTCTTTATCAATAGCGGGCACCTGCGCCTACCCAGGGCCCCGCGGGGCGACTACGCTTCAGACGGAGGGGACGCGGGCACGAAACCATCTACAACGAACGCAGCGCACGCGGCAGGCGGTGGGAGGCACGGCGGCGATGACCCCCCACGAGGGCCGTCCGGCTCCGGCCGCGGAAGCTGTGAAACCCGCACCCGCGCCTCGTCCCGCGCCCGCCCGCGGGGCGGCGGAGGCTGAGTCATTCCCGGGAGTAACTTTATCCGCATCGTGCCCTCGGGGAAGCCTCGCGCTCCGCTGCGGGACGGAGCCGCGTCTGGGACCCTCGCCCCGTCCGGCCTCCGAGCCTGACACCTCGGGGCTCAGCCCGGCGGCGGCGGCGGCGGCGAGGGTGCGTCCCTGGGCCCCGGCGCTCCCGACGCCGGCGGGAGGCACCGGGAGGCCGGGGCTGCACAGGCCCCCGCGGAGCCGCCCGCCCCCGCCTCCCCCGCCCGGGGACCCGCTCCCTGGGCCGCGCCCGAGGGGCAGGACGCCGCACTCACCGGGAAGCGCCTCCTCCTCCGCCGGCGGCAGCAGCAGGGCCCGCGGCTCCCGGCACCATCTTCCGCCGCCGCCTTGTCTTCGGCGGCTGCTACCAACCGTCCATCGGCGCCGCCAACCGACACAACCGCCGCGGCCGGGGCCGCCGCCTCTGGGCGGCGGGGACGGGCAGGCCCCTCGGCTCTGGGTCGGGGGCCGGGGGAGGGCGGGCCGCGGCCGGTCAGAGCCGAGGGGCCGGGCGACGGGGAGCCGAGGCAGCGCCGGGTTCAGCAGGGCCGCGGACACGGCCGCCGCGGGTTTGTTATTGTCGACTCCGGCCCTTCCTGCGCGGGGCACGCCGGGAAGCGGGCGGGGGAGGGGCGGCGCGGCGGGCGCAGGGCAGCTCTGCGCAGGTCCGGAAGTCGGCGGGCCGCCGGGAAGGGTTGGACCCGGCTCCGCCTGGTGCCGGTGCTGGTATTGGTGTTTCCCGGCTCGGGGCCCTGGCGTCCTCGCGTGACCCGGGAGACTCCGCTGGGCGGCTCGGGGCGGTGCTGGCCCCTGTCCGGGCGCGACTGCCCCAAGGTGAGCCTGACCTTCTCGCTCCAGCGAGTGGGCCTGCGCTCTCCGACCCACCGAATCCTGGGTTACCCGGGCGGAAGAGCTCGGCCCCCTCGGCCTGTCGCGGCCCCTGGGCTCCCGCCACCGGCCCAGGGCCCGTGAGGGGACGGGGCGCCGGGGAGGGGGGCCTGCGTGTCTCCCCGCCGGGCCTGCAGGCCGCCGGCCAGGGGCCTGGCAAGCCTGAAGGCGCTGGCGGCCCAGGCTCAGATGAGGGAAGGGAAAGAAGGCAGTTAAGGCTGGGTCGGTGGGGAGGAGGTCGAAAGCGCCGCGACCACCGCATTTTTCAGCTCGAACCTGAGCTCTCTAGTAGGTTAGCACGAGCCCCCTAAGGAAAGCAGTGTCGGGGGTCCTGATGCTGTGAAGACGGTGAGTCACGGGCAATGGAGCCGCAGCGCGCAAGTATTCAAGTGTGAGGAGCGGGAGTTGCAGGTAGAGTAAATACGTAAGACTTCTAGGCTTCCTGTTGGGTCCAGGAATCTCTGGTATGAGTAACAGCTTGGAGGTGCTACCGCTGAGTCACTAGAGGGCTTTTGAGTTGCGATTGCGTAAAGAGGCGTGTCAGCACCCTTTTCGAGGGCGCCCAAGCAGAACTCACGCTACGGGCAAGCGAAATCTGCGCTCCGTCGTTTGTAATGGTAGGAACTGAAAGAAAACGTCGAACAGCTGGTAAGCATTACGGATTTTCAGTTTCCATGGCGCTGACCCGGTATCTGAAAGTTATGGCTGAGACGGGCTAAGACGTGTTACCACTTGATTCTTAAGTTTACACTCCTGCCGATCCTGGAGAGGTCTTGTTTTTGGCGAGTGATTTTTATTTTTTTTTTTTTTTTAAGGGTGGAGTTTTATTACACCACCCCAACAAGGTACTACTGCAGGGAACCGAAAATTAAGAGGCTAAACCGTTGTTATGCCTTGGGGGAAGGTGTGAACTGGCAAGATGAAGAAAGGAGCTGATTTTATCAGGCACGGCATCGTAACCAGCATAAAGAAAGTAAGTGGTCAGAAGGGATTCAGCCAGAAAATTGGCAAGCGGAGCACAGCATTAGGCCTCTAAAGAATGTATTGGTGCTTGACTTTCCTCTTAGTTATCAGTGACGTCTGGCAGTACAACTTAAATACACCGTAGAGTGTAAAATCATGACTGGAATATGCCAATGATAATCTATTAAATAAAATGTTTTAAATGTTACTTGCCCGACTTCTTTATTTGGGGGAAAAAACAAAACCTAATTCATTCCTCATCTTCCTCTTCTCCAGAGTGTGAATAGTAAGAGTTGATATGCCTCATGTCCTTTCCTAGCGATAAGTGAAAATGTATCGACATTCGTTTTTTGACATATATCTAGCTCTCTAGAGAAAACACTGTTACAGTTTCCTGATGCTGCGTGTGTCCATAATAGTTCTCAGTAAGTCACATTTTCCTTCAAACCAAGGATATTGAAAACCCTCTGCACTCTCCCTTAATAAATGAAAACAAGAACAAACGATCCTCATGCAGCGTTCCTTCTCACCCAAGCTTCTTCATAGGAAGTCCTCGATCCACAGTCTCATTTTTGCCAACTGTACTTTTCTTGCTGAAATTGCAGGTTAATAAGGACCCCCAAATTATTGTATTAAATGGGCGACGCTGAGACTTAATTTGAACCTTCTAAACCATTTGCCCTGTTACATTTTTAAATCTTTTTTTCTCCCCCTTCCCTTTGTAGTGTCTCCCTCTTGGCTCTTAAATCTGTTCTTTTACTTGGACCTCTTCCAAATTCTCAAGTAATTATAATACGGATGCAAATGATGAAAATATAAGGTGCTGTGGGCGCGGAGATAAGAGACTTGATCTTGTTCTCATCACACTACTTCGTTAATTTGATAAACATTTTAGGTCCTTTGATAGATTTCCCATGAGGGCAAAAGACAGTGGTTCTCTTTCTGAGTCTGTAAGAGGAGTAGGAAAAGTCTATTAAACACCCTAAATACTTCACATCAGATCCAGCCTTTAACACCTCTTTTTCCTCTAAGTCTCAACTTCACTGTCACTTTCTCAGGGAGTCTTCCCTGACATGCCCATAGTTCCCCTAGATCCTTGTACCTTTCAGCATCTATCTGACCTGCTGAAATGTAAGTCCTTAAATGGAGCTGTTTCCCCAAATGCATGCTGTACAGTGCTGAGCACTCACACATTTGTTGACAGTGCCCTACAGATTTTTTTAGTTGATAGCTCACCACCCAACTCATCTTTCGTTATTTACTCAATCTAAGACCAACCTCATCCTGTCTCTAACCACCTACAACCTTCACTGATTTTGTTTGGTGTTTTACATACAATTTAAGCTTCTTAGCATAAGAATCTCTTAGGTCCCAACCCACCTCTAGGGTATCTCCTGGCACTTGTCACGTTTACACATGCCTGGTATGAGTTTCATCATCCAGGGATGTTCTTTCACTCTTGTTCAACTTTCAAAGGCATCCTTTAAAACAGCCAGCTGCCAGCTTCTAGACAACATAGCAATCACTCCCCCTTCCACCACCTCTGCTTCATATCACACAACTGTAAATTGTTGGCTCCCCATCTAAATCTGAAACCTTTAAGACAAGGAACTATGAATTACTCATTTTTAAGTTCCTAGAACTTTATAGAGAGCTGGGCACTTAGCAATTAATAAAATATTGAATGTAATAAATCATGCAAATGTTCAAGTTGAAGGTTGAGTAGGTAAGGTACTGTGGAAAATTTCTGCCCTCAAGTATCTAAAAAACTCAGACAGGGCATCATTCAAAAATCATTGTAGTGGCAAGTTTATGACATTAATCTTTTAACCAAAAATACATCAGGATACTGGGAAGATCACGGTACACAGCTTAATTTTGTTCACTCTGCCTGATCAGGGATTTCATTCTCCATTTGTGTCAGATTTTTCTCAGACAATTTCGTGTCATTAGGCTGATTTTTTAGATTATGTTCAAACAGCAGTAACCACGACGGACATGACTTAAAGTATGAATCATAATTTTCCATTTTCAAAAGTTAGCCCCTTTAAAAAGTCTCGGACTTTGTTTTGAAGACCATAGCTATTTGGTGTGTAAGGTGTGGTCACGTACAATACTTGGAGGCTTCTGGCATTATTAAGTTAATCTGTCCAGTGCTATTTACAGACCTTAAAGCTGCCCCAGTCAGCTGCTCTGCTGGTACTCACATGTTATTAATGATGATCATAGTTAATTTACAAGTGAGGATCTTCAAAGCTAGTGAGGAGCTTTGTGAGCTGTTTCTCATGCGACACCCACAAGAAAATACAGCATCCTTCATTTTCCAACAGATTTAAACCAATAGATTGAGACAAAACAGTCATTTTTTCACATCGAGTTCCTGTCTTTCATTATTTTGACAAAGAACTTAAAATGTCAAAAAGTAGAACTGGGTTGTCTTAGATCTATTAAAAAAAAAAAAAAAGCAGAAACTACTGCTTCCTCAAATCATCCATTTGTTTTAGTGAACCCTACCTGCTGCCCATACATGTAAAACTCTTCCCAGTAGGCATCCTTTTTAATATGGTTTATTAAAGAGAGCACTAAACTGGGTGTTTGGAAACCTGGTGTCCATTCCTGCCTCAGCCATCTGTGCTATGTTTGTTTCCCTAGTAGTGAACTCTGCTCGCCATCAAACTGCACTGCTCTTAAAGCCCTAATCCCCACTCCTTTGCAATTTCTCTCTCTTGGTCAGTAATCTCACCTCCTACATCACAAAGAAGTGGAAGCTGTGAGAAAGAACTCCGCTCTCCTGCCAAGTAATCTGCAAACCTATTGATGCCTACTGTTGGTACCCCCTCCAGTCACTCTTCTGTCCCTTCTACTGAAGGGAGTGGTGAGCTCTGGACTCCATCCCACCATCTCATTCAGTCATTCCGTGGGACCCCTTGGTAAGTGCCAAATTTAGTGTACATGGCAAATGTTTTACAGAATTTAAGTAACATCTTTTGAAATTGGAATTCGTCCTTAATTGCCTGTTGTTCCACTTAAAACGAAAATCAAGTAAGAAAGCATTACATCAGCAGTATGATTTAGTAGTTACGTAAGATATCTTTTGATCTCTCAGTTTTATTAAAATTCACTTATTACTTGCTAGACAGTTATTTACACGAAATGTCATGTTGATCTCTTAACAAAAGATTAATGTTAAAACTCTTAGGCTGGGCTTCCCTGGTGGCGCAGTGGTTGAGAGTCCGCCTGCCGATGCAGGGGACATGGGTTCATGCCCGGTTCCGGGAAGATCCCACATGCCACGGAGCGGCTGGGCCCGTGAGCCATGGCCGCTGGGCCTGCGCGTCTGGAGCCTGTGCTCTGCAACGGGAGAGGCCACAACAGTGACAGGCCCGCATAATGCAAAAAAAGAAAAAAACTCTTAGGCAGATATTAAAAACTATAGAAAAATTGTTTTCCTTTTTGTTTCTGTAATATTTATTTTCTAACTTTAGTTTTGACTGCTTTGATTATATGAATTTTCAATAAAAACTTTCAGTCTTAAAAAAATTTTTCAGTGTTTCTTTCTTTTTTGGCCATTATTATTATTTCATGATTGTTACTTAAATTAATTTCATTATATGGGAAAATGGAGTATTAGAAATTTATCCACTCTTTAATACACTAGATATATACCAGTGACAGGGTCCAAGACTTTTTTAACATGGTCTAAAGGGAATTCTAATGCAGACGATGGCCTTGAGAAACAAAGGACTAAATCTCTACAGCCCCTTGCAGTCCTACAAAATATTCCTTCTCCTTTTAATCCATAGTGCTACCCTCTCTCTCAAAATGAATTCATCAGATAAATACTAATTCATTCACAACTTTCTATATCTTTGTACTGTTGAAGGGATTCATTTGAAATCACTTGTCATTTTCAAATGTGCCCTAATTGTTTTTTGAATTTTACTTTATTTATTTTTTATACAGTAGGTTCTTACTAGTTATCCATTTTATACATATTGGTGTATACATGTCAATCCCAATCCCCCAATTCATCCCAACACCCACCCACCTGCCGCTTTCCCCCCTTGGTGTCCATACGTTTGTTCTCTACATCTGTGTCTCTATTTCTACCCTGCAAACCGGTTCATCTGTACCATTTTTCTAGGTTCCACATATATGAATTAATATACGATATTTGTTTTGCTCTTTCTGACTTACTTTACTCTGTATGACAGTCTCTAGATCCATCCACGTCTCTACAAATGACCCAATTTCGTTCCTTTTTATGGCTGAGTAATCCATTGTATATATGTACCACATCTCTTTATCCATTTCTCTGTCAGTGGGCATTTAGGTGGATTCCATGTCCTGGCTATTGTAAATAGTGCTGCAATGAACATTAGGGTGCATGTGTCTTTTTGAATTATGGTTTTCTCTGGGTATATGCCCAGTACTGGGATTGCTGGCTCATATGGTAATTCTACTTTTAGTTTTTTAAGGAACCTCCATACTGTTCTCCATAGTGGCTGTATCAATTTACATTCCCACCAACAATGCAAGAGGGTTCCCTTTTCTCCACACCCTCTGCAGTATTTGTCATTTGTAGATTTTCTGATGATGCCCATTGTCTGGTATTACATTTAGGTCTTTAATCCATTTTGAGTTTATTTTTGTGCATGGTGTTAGGCAGTATTCTAATTTCATTCTTCTACATGTAGCTGTCCAGTTTTCCCAGCACCACTATTGAAGAGACTTTCTTTTCTCCATTGTATATCCTTGCCTCCTTTGTCATAGATTAGTTGACCATAGGTGCGTGGGTTTATCTCTGGGCTTTCTGTCCTGTTCCATTGATCTATATTTCTGTTTTTGTGCCAGTATCATATTGTCTTGATTACTGTAGCTTTGTAGTATAGTCTGAAGTCAGGGAGTCTGATTCCTCCAGCTCCGTTTCTTTCCCTCAAGACTCCTGTGGCTATTCGCGGTCTTTTGTGTCTCCATACAGATTTTACGATTTTTTTGTTCTAGTTCTGTAAAAAATGCCACTGGCAATTTGATAGGGATTGCATTGAATCTGTAGATTGCTTTGGGTAGTGTAGTCATTTTCACAATATTGATTCTTCCAATCCAGCAACATGGTATATCTCTCCATCTGTTTGTGTCATCTTTGATTTCTTTCATCAGTGTCATAGTTTTCTGCATACAGGTCTTTTGTCTCCTTAGGTAGGATTATTCCTAAGTATTTTATTCTTTTTGTTGCAATGGTGAATGGGATTATTGCCTTAATTTCTCTTTCTGATCTTTCGTTATTAGTGTATAGGAATGCAGGAGATTTCTATGCATTAATCCTGTATCCTGCAACTTTACCAAATTCATTGATTAGCTCTAGTATTTTTCTGGTGGCACCTTGAGGATTCTCTATGTATAGTATCATGTCATCTGCAAACAGTGACAGTTTTACTTCTTCTTTTCCGATTTGTATTCCTTTTATTTCTTTTTCTTCTCTGATTGCCGTGGCTAGGACTTCCAAAACTATGTTGAATAATAGTGGCAAGAGTGGACAACCTTGTCTTGTTCCTGATCTTAGAGGAAATGCTTTCAGTTTTTCACCATTGAGAATGATATTTACTGTGGGTTTTTCATCTAATCCTTTATTATGTTGAGGTAGGTTCCCACTATGCCTGGAGATATTTTTTATCATAAATGGGTGTTGCATTTTGTCAAAAGCTTTTTCTGCATCTACTGAGATGATCATATAGTTTTTATTCTTCAGTTTGTTGATATGATGTATCACATTGATTGATTTGCGTATATTGAAGAATCCTTGCATCCCTGAGATAAATCCCACTTGATCATGGTGTATGATCCTTTTAATGTGCTGTTGGATTCTGTTTGCTAGAATTTTGTTGAGGATTTTTGCATCTATATTCATCAGTGACATTGGTCTGTAATTTTCTTTTTTTGTAGTATCTTTGTCTGGTTTTGGTTTCAGGGTGATGGTGGTCTCATAGAATGAGTTTGGGAGTGTTCCTTCCTCTGCAATTTATTTTAAGAGTTTGAGAAGGATTGGTGTTAGCTCTTCTCTAAATGTTTGATAGAATCCACCTTTGAAGCCATCTGGTCCTGGACTTTTGTTTGTTGAAAGATTTTAAATCACAGTTTCAATTTCATTACTTGTGATTGATCTGTTCATATTTTCTATTTCTTCCTGGTTCAGTCTTGGAAGTTTATACCTTTCTAAGAATTTGTCCATTCCTTCCAGGTTGTCTATTTTATTGGCATAGAGTTGCTTGTAGTAGTCTCTTATGATGCCTTGTATTTCTGCAGTGTCCATTGTAACTTCTCCTTTTTCATTTCTAATTTCATTGATTTGAGTTCTCTCCCTCTTTTTCTTGATGAGTCTGCCTAAAGGTTTATCCATTTTGTTTATCTTCTCAAAGAACCAGCTTTTAGTTTTATTGATCTTTGCTATTGTTTTCTTTGTTTCTATTTCATTTATTTCTGCTCTGATCTTTATGATTTCTTTCCTTCTACTAACTTCGGGTTTTGTTTGTTCTTCTTTCTCTTGTTCCTTTAGATGTAAGGTTAGATTGTTTATTTGAGATGTTTCTTGTTTCTTGAGGTAGGCTTGTATTGCTATAAACTTTCCCTTTTAGAACTGCTTTTGCTGCATCCCATAGGTTTTGGATCATCATGTTTTCGTTGTCATTTGTCTCTAGGTATTTTTTGATTTCCTCTTTGATTTCTTCAGTGATCTCTTGGTTATTTAGTAATGTATTGTTTAGCCTCCAAGTGTTTGTGTTTTTTATGTTTTTCCTCCCTGTGATTGATTTCTAATCTCATAGCATTGTGGTGAGAAAAGATGCTTGATATGATTTCAATTTTCTTAAATTTACCAAGGCTTGATTTGTGACCGAAGATGTGATGTATCCTGGAGAACGTTCCACGTGCACTTGAAAAGAAAGTGTAATCTGCTGTTTTTGGATGGAATGTCCTATAAGTATCAATTAAATCTATCTGGTCTGTTGTGTCATTTAAAGCTTGTGTTTCCTTATTAATTTTCTGTCTGGATGATCTGTCCATTGGTGTAAGTGAGGTGTTAAAGTCCCCCACTATTATTGTGTTACTGTTGATTTCCTCTTTTATAGCTTTTAGCATTTGCCTTATGTATTGAGGTGCTCCTATGTTGGGTGTATATATGTTTATAATTGTTATATCTTCTTGTTTTGATCCCTTGATCATTATGTAGTGTCCTTCCTTGTCTCTTGTAACAGTCTTTATTTTAAAGTCTATTTTATCTGACATGAGTATTGCTACTCCAGCTGTCTTGATTTCCATTTGCATGGAATATCCTTTTCCATCCCCTCACTTTCAGTGTGTATGTGTCCCTAGTTCTGAAGTGGGTCTCCTGTAGACAGCATATATATAGGTCTTGTTTTTGTATCTATTCAGCGAGCCTGTGTCTTTTGGTTGGAGCATTAGTCCATTCATGTTCAAGGTAATTACAGATATGTATGTTCCTATTACCATTTTCTGAATTGTTATGGGTTTGTTTTTGTAGGTCCTTTTCTTCTCTTGTGTTTCCCACTTAAAGAAGTTTTTTAGCATTTGTTGTAGAGCTGTTTTGGTAGTGCTGAATTCTCTTAGCTTTTGCTTGTCTATAAAGCTTTGGATTTCTCTGTTGAATCTGAATGAGATCCTTGCTGGGTAGAGTAATCTTGGTTGTAGGTTTTTCCCTTTCATCACTTTAAATATCTCGTGCCACTCCCTTCTGGCTTGTAGAGTTTCTGCTGAGAAATCAAATGTTAACCTTATGGGAGTTCCCTCGTATGTTATTTGTCAATTTTTCCTTGTTGCTTTCAATAATTTGTCTTTAATTTTTGCCAATTTGATTACTATGTGTCTGGGTGTGTTTCTCCTTGGGTTTTTCCTGTATGAGACTCTCTGCGCTTCCTGGAGTTGGGTAGCTATTTCCTTTCCCATGTTAGGGAGGTTTTCGACTATAATCTCTTCAAATATTTTCTCAAGTCCTTTCTCTCTCTCTCCTCCTTCTGGGACACCTATAATGCGAATGTTGTTGCGTTTAATGTTGTCCCAGAGGTCTCTTAGGCTGTCTTCATTTCTTTTCATTCTTTTTTCTTTATTCTGTTCTGCGGCAGTGAATTCCACCATTCTGTCTTCCAGGTCACTTATCAGTTCTTCTGCCTTGTTATTCTGATATTGGTTCCTTCTAGTGTATTTTTCATTTCAGTTATTGTATTCTTCATCTCTGTTTGTTTGTTCTTTAATTGTTCTAGGTCTT